TGGCTTCACTGAGTTACGCAAGCCCCTTTGCCACGACAAGGCAGTGATCCATGAAGGGGTTTTAGAGTTAGAATCTGATAATTTTAGTAACTGCTAGCTTGCACCCTGGCTGGGTAAAGTCTCAGAGCTTCAAGTGCTGTTTGTTTTCTATCTGTCACTCCTCCTTGTAACCTCTCCTACAAGGAATAATGATAGGAATAAATGTAGAACAATATACAGTTTAAGTTGGGTAAGTGTTCTTTTGATCCCAAGCTCCTTCAATCCTGCCACTAACGCAATCCTCTCATATAAATTTGTCATTGGGAAAAAACCAGCTACAGTATTCTACTGTAGATTTTCCCCTTCCAAGACTGGGAGAGGATCTCTCCCTTCTAAGAAGGAAAACTGATAAATTCTGTGGTTTCTGGGACATTGCATCAGATATCATGGGATTGCAGTCTTAACTGATTTTCTATAATGGTGATATGAGGAGCCAGTGTGACATAGCACTTAGTTGCAAAATGCAAAGCCCCACATCAAATCTCAGTTTAGCCATAAAGCTTGCTGGAGATTCACCGACTGGTAGCACCTCTTAGTCTAACTTACTTCACAAAGAAGGGGTGAACCATTTAACTTTAGAAATCCTATGCAAGTATCTTAATAAATGCAAAGAAAACAGATTTAGTCAGTGGGGTCCTGTATCTTTCCTAGCCCTCATTTTCACCATATAAGTAGGTATGTATAGATTTCTTAAATTATACTCATTCCTAACATGCATAATTCAGAACTAGTGCTGGTGTGTTGTTGAATATTCTTCAGTCGTTTGAGGAAAATGTAACAATAGTTTATATAAGAAATACCTTTTTGATAAAAGCAAAGATTTTCTAGCTGAATACAAAAATACTACATACCGGTTTTGTCTCCTTTCAGCCCTAATTTTCACATGTTCATTCTTCTGTTTAGTATAATTTGATCTACTTTCATTCTGGGTACTTTTGTTGGAAATGGATGACTTATGTTTATTTATTTATGCAATTTAGAGGCCATCCAACTCTACAAGACTCCTGGCAGTTTACAATATTTAAAACAGAAAATAGTAAAATGAAAAAGCATTAGCCAGGCAAGAAAGCAAGAACTTAATCAAAATTCCACAGGGGCTTGACACCCACCCTAACCCAAGGTCTGGGGGAACAGCCAAGTTTGCAGAAACTTTCTGAACATACATATTTGTGATATTTTTATTAGAATAAATGCTTGTGTGTGTGTGTGTGTTAACATACATATTGATTATGTGCCATTAAGTCAGTGTCAACCCTTAATAATCACATAGAATTAGGATTAATTTGTTTGATGATCCATTTGTTTGTTTTCTTGGTTGTCCATGGTATTCTTAGTACCAAAGTTTAAAAGCATCAATACTCTTTCTATTCTGGTTCTTCAAAGTCCAGTCTTTGCTTTTGTAGAGTGTTATAGGAAATGCCATTGCTTGCAGTATTTTGATCTTTGTGTATAGACATATCCTGGTATCCAAATATCTTTTCTAAGGCCTTCATGGCCACTCTACTAAGTGCTAGTCTGGGGCATATTTCTTGACTGCTTGTTGCTTTACTTGTGATGGTTGATCTTAAAAGGCAGAAGCTATCTGTCAGTTCAATATCTTCATTTTCAGTTTTAAGGCTGGTTGCTGTACCTGTTGTCATTAGCTTGGTCTTCTTTATATTTAACTGTAGTCCCATTTCTTCACTGTGTTCTTTGAGTTTTATTACTAGAGTTTGCAGAACCTTTGCATTTTCAACTATCAGAGTAGTGTCATCAGCATAGCACAGGCTATTGATGTTTCTTCCTCTAGTTTCAAAACTACACTCAACTTCCTCCAATCCAGTTTTCATTAATATATATTCATAATATTATTAAATATTCATTGATAATAAATAAGGTGAGAGTATACAGCCTTGTCTCATTCCTTTGCCAACTTGAGCTAGTCTGCTTTGCCATGTTCTATCTCTACTGTGGATTCCAGACCTGTATATTGGTTTCAAATGAGGACAATGAGAATTTCTGAAATTCTAAGCACATTCCACAGCATGACATGATCTAAACAATCAAAGGCTTTTCTATAATTAATAAAGCAACATACTGACTTTTTGATATTTTCTTTATTTGATCTTTGTTTTTTATACTAATTTAATTAAAGATTATAATTACAACAGTAAAAACTAATACAAACTAAAAAAAAAGAATAAAAAGTAGAAGGTACGGAAAAGAAAAAAAAGGAAAAATAGAGAAATAAAAAAGTAAGAATATAGTAAAGAAAAAACATATAAAATCTTTAGTTCCCTCTAGTGTCCAATTTTTAAAATCTTATTTTTTAAAAAAAATTAAAACCATTTTCCCATGGAATGGATTTTTCCAAAATCTTATTTCAAATTTATCTGGACCCTTTGTTTGTTTGTAACTTTCTAAAATCAAAGTTTTAATCAACCTTTTGCTGTTTATTCCAGATTTTTTTTTAAGCCCTTAAACTTGTAGTTAAAACTTTCTTTCCCTAAGGATTGAAGGAAACTCACCTGGTACTGTCAGACTTGTCAACCCAGAGGTTTCTAATAGCTGAAAAGCAGTTAACAAGCAATTTCCGAAAGTGATTAGAAAAGGAAGTATGTGAACTTATGTCCTTTCAATGGTGCTGACTGTGGCTTGAGCAAGATGTCTATTCCCTCATCTCCCAGATCTCTAAACCCACTAGAGACTGCTATCTTGCAGTCTCCTTGTGAGCAGCAGCTGTCTGGAGCACTTGTGGGTGATCTTAAGTCCTCTCCTCCGGAGAGGAATTATCAAAAAGCCAGTCTACTCACTGGCTCTTCATTCTGCCATAGTCATCAGCTCCACTTTTCATGGAGCCATCTTCAGTCCTCTGTTTCTTCCTCTGGAAACCTTTGATCTTTGAATCAGTTGCTAAGTGTCTACTGGCATCCTTTAGCATACCAATTCAAGGTTGGAACCTCCTTCTAACTTCAGAAACATACTCATTTATTATAATTGTAAGAAAAAAAGGAAATAAGTAATTCTGATATAAGTAAACATTTAAAAGCATATAAATATATTGTAAGAATGCAAAAAGAAGAACCAGTATAAGCAATAAGATACAGGTGGATAACCATAAAATAACCATCAGATTTTTTTTTTTTAACTACTGGAATAACATGGCAGTTTTCAAGTTGTTTCTGAAAGTTATATATCACATTTTCTTCTTTAAAAAGTTGCTTTGTTCTATTTTTTTATTTCATAAACTTCATTGTGATGGTGCTTTGTAATATGTAGATTGTTTACTTTCAGTAGTTCAAAGAAGACTATGTGTCAACACTACAGTAATAACTTCTTATGCTGTTATGTCTGATTGAGTACGGATACCTTATTGCCCACTAGAGGTCACAATATACAAGTACTGTGAAGGAACTCCTCTCCCACAATTAATTGTACTTCTTGAAGTATAAACAGTATATTACAAACTATAACATAATTTAGCTTTTAATTATGTTCACTTTTTAAAAAAGTTTTATAAGGGTTTTTCCAGCTATTTGGGACTTTTTAAAGCTTCCTAAGATGGAGACAGCAACAAAAGAAGCTACTGCAAGACAATTTATTGTATTTCTTTTGGTGTTCAAGTTTTATGGGTCACTGTTGAAAGCATTTAGCAAGCAGTGTCCTTTCAAGCTTGTATTTTGACCCACTATCCATACTGTCCATGGATGGTTACATACAAAAAAAGGACAAGGCTCCTGTACTTTAATAGGAGTGCAAAAAAGGAATTTTAGTAGATGTAGCTTGCATGATTATACGTTCCTTCTGAAGCTACATTCTATGCTGTTAAGGTGGAAGAGCTCTGTCTTTTGTTGCTTTTCACTGCCTATTTTTTACTGTTTTTTTTTATTTGAAAGCCTAACTTTGAAAGTACCCAGCTGCTAATATATAATTAGATTTCTATTGCAGTGGGATTATTACTAAAACAAAAGAAGAAAAACTAAAATCAGTATTTCTGCTTTAAGGTTGTATGCTAGTTTTATCTGATATTCTAAGCGTTCACCTAGAAATACAGTCAGTTATTGAAAATTGTAGATGTAAATATATGTGTGTGTGTGTTAGCCAAGAGAATAAACAAATAGATCATCAAACCAGTCAACCTAGAGTTCTCACTTGAGGCACAAATGGCCAGGCTCAAATTATCCTACTTTGGACTGCAGAGGCTCTAATGCTGGGAAAGGTGGAAGGAAAGAGAAGAAAAGAACAACAAGCAGCAAGGTGAATGGACTCAGTTATAGTGGCAGTGGGTGCATCATTGGAAGATTTGAAGGAGGAGACTAGGGATAGATCTTCATGGAGATGATCTGTGTGGTTGCTAAGTCAACACCAACTTGATGGCACATAATCAATGAGTTTGTTTAAATAGAGATGCTCTTTTCTTGTTATCCTTTCTCTCTGCCTTAATCTGAATATGTATTTAAATGTAGCCTTTTTAGTTCTTAATTGGGTATCTTAGTCTGTATTTTGTATGACTTGCCTTGCATGTTTTACTGTGTGTAAACAGAATGAACATATTTTCATTTTAAACCAGTTTCTCTTTGAAGAAGATTATAAATAATTTTTCGCATCACATTGACTGTTGAGAAATAATTGCATTGTCTACTTCCAGGTTACAGATAAAAAAGTTTCCAGGAAGCATGCTATTCAGAAAGTAGTTGGTGACCAGCTTAGCATCAAACCGGTGGGTACTGTTTCCTATTTCTCAGTGTAAAGCAAACTGAAAAATTCTAGTTTTGTATTGCTCATTCTAATGTTGAATGTCCCTTTCATTTTTAGCCCCAAGTAGAAATGGAGTTTAAGATGGTACAATTCAAAATTAAGAATTTTGAAGAGTGTTTGAAGAGTGTTTTTGATAATACATTGGATTTTCATTAGACTTCTTACCGTTCTAACTACATATAGATTTGCAGAATTAAGAAAAAAGTAGAGAAATATATTTTCAGAATATACTTTTAAGTCTGGCTTGTATTTAATAACTGAAATACAATCTGACTGTCAAGAGCCCTTGATTTGGTTCACACATTGTTGTAAGCCATAGGTTGTTCAAGACACATGAAACAGGCAGTGATAGGATGCAACCATGTGTTGCTATCCTGTAACTACATCATTTCTGCAAATGTATATTTTCTGAAGTCTGCATTGCAAGCCCTTACCTCCCCCAAAATAAGCTATATTGCTGTATTGCAATGGAATCAGCATCCATTTATAATTAAGCCTATTAATTCCTAGAAGGTCTTCACTGATATCTGTACTAAAAGTCTTCTTCTTAATTGGCAGGTCCATGTGAACCCCTGTTTTTATTGGCCTGTTGAAGATGACCAACTACTTCCTTTGGATAGAGATAAGTGGCATCAGTTGTGTCCAGGTGACAGTTTTTCTCTGTTAGTAGACAAATACATCTTCAAAGTTTTATGTACTCCACTGGAAAAGGAAAACCTGCTAAGGTAATGAGATTTGATCTTGAAAATGCGACAGTGAGTTTCAGTGTCAAATTGCCTCTTTATATATAGTCTGATATGCAGTATGCTAAATGAGGCAAATTATGTTTGAGCCATTATGATAAGTGGTAGCTGAGTAAATTATTTCTTCTATTAATTATCTCAAGTTGCTTTTAATTGCAAGCATTATTATTCCTTTCTCCTCCATAAAAAATTAAGATGAATCATGTAACAATTATATATATGCAGGATGTAATTTAGACATTTTGATACCAATATACAGATATACATATACTAATACTTTAAATATTTGATGCTCCTGTATTGTTAGTTGATTGAAACATCAGTCTTTTTTCAAAAATGACAGAAAGTAATAAAAGTTGTAATGACAATTCAGGGATATAAGAGAACAATGCAGCAAACCTCTGTGTAGGATTTCAAAGCAAAAGAAAATTGTTTTTGTCAAATGTTTAGATATAGAATGAAATAGGTATTAGCTATGCTAAAATAGCATGGAATAAATAATTTAAATGTATAGGGCATTAAATTCAGAGCATTTAATATAACATAAAATGCTTTTTTTTCCTCTTGTCTATGAACAGTGTTATGTTTTGTGCTAAAAAAATAGAAAATATATTGTTTAGACCTAGTGGTATGAGACTTGATGTATACTTGCTAAATAAGATTCAGAACAAGCTAAAGCATACTGTCATGGAGAAACTAACTTTAAACTACCAGGACTTTATATAGCACATTAGATTCTTTAATTTGATTGTACAAGTCCTTTAAAAAAGGTCCTTTGGAACAGGCAGGAGCAGTTATGAAGTATCCTTCAATTGTTATATTTTCCTGGCTTGCACAGCTGTTTTGGAAGCAGCTTTTAGCTGTCCCTCTGTATGTGTGCGTGCAGAACCACTTTGTTTAGCAGCAACAATGGAAGCACTTTCAAAGCAGCGAACAAGCCTGGAAAAAAACACAGCTCCTTTAACATTAAAAAAAAAGCTTCTTGTAGATGCTGCTGTGGGCTCCAAGACACTTATTTTGAAAGATTTGCACAACTCTATTATTTAAGGTATGTTTTTCCAAAATTCATATTAGGACATCACCATTTTTAGGCGACTTCAAAAGAACCAAAATAATAGTCAAGCTTTTAGGCACAAGAAAAAATATAGCCCCCCCCCAAAAAAATGGGAGGAGCATTATAGTGTTTAATGTTTAAGACATGGGTTTATATTCATCTATAATTTTAAGGTAGAATTTGGAATATGCTGCAGGTATTAAAATTAGGCTGTGTCAAGCATTGAAATGGTTTCAGGATGCATCCAGGACTATCCTGTTGTCTGGTGAAATGATTGAATTTATTTATTTCTTCAATGTATATGGGTGACTTTGGGCCAGTCACTTTTTCCCAGCCCTAGGAAGGAGGCAGTGGCAAACCACTTCTGAAATTTTGCTAAGAAAACTGCAGGGACTTGTCCAGGCAGTTGCCAGGAGTCAAAAACTGACTTAGAGGAACAACAATGAAAAAAAGAGGATTAAAAACAAATATAACAGCAGAAGCAACAACAACAAACAATAAAAATAATTCCACTGATATAATTTGGGGCCTAAATCATAATTTTGAGTAGAGTTTTATATTTTTAATTCTACATTTCTTCTACTAACTAATGAGTAGCAACCTGTGTTAATTCATTCCCATTAAGAAGTTTATTACATGCAATAGGGAAAATGGTAATCTTTGGGTAGAAGACATACCAGATCAAATGTCCACAACTCTGCAGTCAACCAAGATGTCTCACAGACAGCCTTCAGGACAATCAACAGTCCCTTCTAGCAAAGACCAACTTCCAGAAGTACATTCATTTATAGAAAAAGCAACCGAAATCCCAGAGAAGGTAACTTTCAGTGTTGGAGTGCTGCAGTTTTATTAATGGAAAAGTTAAGTATAATTTTATTATAGGGATGATTTTTACCTATATCAAGAAGTGTGAGGTTATAGAAAACCTATTTTCAGAGAGGCTGTAGTGGCAGGGCTGGGTAGTAGGCTAAAAGGTAAGTCTCAACCTACTGTCCAGGATGTCCTCAAGTACTACCTCCTTTCTTCTAAGAGATCAACTTCATTAAATAAGAAAATGTAAATATACTTTTAACATTAGGTAGTTACTACAGAAAAAAAATTAATGGTGTTGATGAAATAAGAGAAACAGCATTGATAAAATCACAGCGTCTTAAGGGAATCACCCATAAATAGCTATCAAAGAGAAGCAAATCATGAGACAGATCCAAGGTGAGTAGGATTCCCTGTTCAAAGAGCCCAAAGTATAACAAGCATATAATAACTGAGCTTGCATAAATACAATAAATTCAGATACTGTAGATTCCAGATACAAATAAAGTTTGTAATCAGCATGCACATTAAAGCAAAGTAATGGTCTGACTACAAATTCTTGGCTAAAAATGTTACCTATATCTGAGAGAGAAAGGATCTCTCCAGCAAACAATTCCCTATTTGTTTTTCTTAAATATTTTCCAAGCCTTGTAAATTGTAACCTTAAATCAGAGATTTAGAAGAGCAGTGATCTCTTCTTTCCTTTTCCCTGAAGTAATTGTTGTCTGAAACAGATTTTCCTGACTCAGTTATTTCTGGAACCCCCTGTCCTCCTTCCATTTCCCTGGAGAGATCTCTTTCTGAGGCTTGGATTTAAAATGATTGAAAACTTTTCTGTTTTTCAAAAAAGGGAAGGGGGAGTGTCTTTCAGTATATATATAGCAGAACATGCACTCCCTATGCCTCTGTACAATGTAGATTCAAATCCAGACAAGTGAATGTGAATTCTGTTTGGATTACTAGTGTAAATCTTGTGATTGTGGGTGGCATCCCAAGAGAGGTTGTTGTGAATGAAGTTATTTCTTCTGTCATATAATCTGAGTGTCATTATCCAGTGGAGAGAGGCTGAAAGTATATCCTTTTACTGTGAGTAGTCTTTGTTGAACTCACTGGAGTTAACTTCCCATTAGCAGAAGTCTTTATTTGTTGAGGCTGAAAAGCATGTAACCATAGTCATAGTCATAACACATTCACTCCAGATGCATAAGCTCCTCCACCAAACCATCATGTGTATTTATTTAGATCTAAATATTATGTACTTCACTGCTATGCCAAACAATTTCTAGGTTTGATAAATATGTATTCTCCCCTTGTCTCTAAGTTACATTTTAACAAGGTTATTGGGCTGTGATGTGTGCTGTTGAATACACAGCAGATACTTACATAATCTTTACATAGTTTAAGTATACTGGAATGCATTCATCAGCGTTTAGAGTATGCTGGGTGACATTTTGTTTTCTTCTTTTCTGTGTATGGCTGGAGAATGAAAGGAACATGGATAGAATCAGTATGGTGCTATGAGAGGGGAACTTTCTTCTTAGCTGGGTTATGATTTGCACTTATGAAATCATGCCTAACAAGGGATATTTTATCCATCCATCCATCCAGTTTAGAGGCTGTCTTATACATGACGCTAGGCAGCTTGACTGCTCTGAATCAAGGACAATACTGAAGCACAAACACTAAAAACTGAGAAATAGATCATAGTCATCTAGAATAGAACAGAAACCAAACCAAACCACCACCTGTAGAGGCTCAGCAACTACCCTACCCCAAGGCCTGGGAGAACAGCTAGGTTTCAGGGACTTTCAGGACATCCAACCATGAGTTGACTAGGGCATGATACAGTTGCATAAATATAGTAATATAAGATATTATGACAATTATGGAAAAGGATGATCATTGATCTCATGTGTATTATTGTTCTTATTTTCTAGCCCTTGTGGAACATATATACTAGTATATTAATTTACTTTTTTTCTTTTTTTTTTAGTTTACTCTTCCTAAAAAAGAAGAATCAAGCCCTGCTCAGCGAAAAAGACAGCTTCCAGAATGGATGCTGCCAGCAGATCTAATGGCTTCAACCCAGTTGACCTCAGCCTCTAAAAAAGGTAAGTACGGAGATAGATTTGCTATGGAAATCTTGGCTTTACTAAATTTTCCTTTTGGAGTATGGAATGATAGAATTTCATTTACTTTTGCATGAGATTCCACACTATATGTCAACAGCAGGATTGTGGTGCATAGTTAAGTTACTTACACAGCTTATGCACTAGGATCAGATAACATTAGCATAACCAGGATTTTGTACTACTATTGATTATAAAGTTTTGTTGTTGCTGTTGTTGCTTAATAATACAGGCCCAAATAACTATGTTTCTAATTAAGTAATGAGATGGTAAATTGGACATGAGATTAATGGTGACTCCTGTTAAAGACAATGCACTGTTGTTAGTTGATTTCCTTCATCTGAAAAAGTGTTAGAAAAAATAATGAGCAAAAATCCTTCAATAATTTGTGTTTTCTTTTGCTATACATAGAACAGGACAGATTATATCTAAATTCTAAATGTTAGGGTTATCTTAAGTGTAAAATGCTTTTAAGTATTTCAGAACATCAGAAATTAAAATAATAGTTATGTAAATAGAAGTTGTTTTAACATATTGTGTGCCCTTAAACATGCATATATCTATTAGATTGTACAAAGGGATAATTAATGTTAGTAGATTAACATTAGTCGATTTAGAGCTACAAGCAGACTTATCTTTCTCTTTGTACTTTGGTTTTTATAATCTTTTAATTATGTATTGCCGATTTTAGTTTGTTGTAAGCCGCCCAGAGTCCCCTGTTGTGGGGAGATGGGCGGGACAAGTCAAATTAATAATAATAATAATAACCCTGTCCTACTTAGAAACGTCTTTCTGAGCCACTCTGTACAACTTCTCCAACCAGCCAGATACCTTAGCCACATAACGATTCTGAAATTTAGAAGGGTTTTATCCTTGGCTAGATTCAGTGCCCTCCCAACAGTTGTTACTGAAGGGAGATACCAAAATATCCCTTTTGAACAGAGATTGTGTCCATGTGATAGAGGAATAATCAAAATGATGGAACATGTTATTTTGTATTGTCCCCTGTACACAGATGCTCGCCAGGAATTATTATCTCCATTATTTACTAAATATCCTGGTCATTCTGACTTGTTTTATCTTAAGTGGTTATTATCAGATCAATCTGATTTTATTTTGTTGACCATAGTTCAGTACTGTTCTACAGTTTGTACAGTATGCCGTAGTATCTCTTCTAATTTTTCTTAGATACTTTAGAATAATTAATTTTTTAATCCTAATTCATTGTGATTCTCTTGTTCTATTTGCTGGTCTATGACCAAATAAAAATTTGATTTGATTTGAATATTAGTAGATTGTTTATATGCAGTAAACCTTACAGAATCCAAACCTTTTGTTTGTCTGCCTAGGTAAAGACCTACTTAGTAATGACTGTCCATATAAATTACATTGAGTAGTTCCCTCTAAATCTTCAAATCTTTTATTTTCTCATTGATCTGATAATCCAAAACTAAAAATGGATATTTTTTTTACCTGCTTTGAATGTAGCCAATATACTTTCCATGTTTTGTAGCTTTATTATAAATTAAGGAGAATGGTTCTGGGGCATTGGTAATAAAAAGGACAGTTAAAATGTGTATGTACCAGTCAGTTTAAATTTTTTTAGAAATAAATCTCTGACTTTATGAAGAGGGCAGGGAGAATTTTGTCACTATGATACAATAAAGTATAATTTATTCATGCTGACATGCTATTTCAGTAACTGTAGACATATTGCTGAAAATGTTATCTATTATAAAGATGAATGCTTTTTTAATACCTGTAAATCGTCAAGGCATTTGTGGAGTAACATAATCTATACAAAGGGTTTTCCTTTGGTAAAACATAGTTTTGTGCAGATTGAGAAGCATTACAAATTTTTATCACGGATTTAAGTAGAATCTCATTTTAGGAACATTATTCAGTTTTGCATTGTTTTTTGCAAACCAATAGAATTAGTCCTAAATAAGCAGAATTTTGATGCATTGTAGTTGAATTTTTGTTAAAATAAGACAGTGTGAAATCTTTCTAATCTGTGCAGTTATTTATAGCTTAGATGTTAAAATTGTTCTATTCAGTAAGGTTGTTTTTTTTTTTTCAGTGAAAATAGGTAATAATGAAGAAATAAAGCCAGGTCTAAGAAAAAAGCAGAAAATGCTTGAAAGTGAAGATTCTGCTCTTGTAACAGAGGTATTTTTTGCTTTTCTACTTTTTTCAATTAATATTTCATATTGTTAATATACAAGGACAGGATTGCAAAAGATATACTGTGTTTTGCTAATTTGTACATAGAAGTGCAGAATGCTTGTAAGGAAGAACCATGTCAGTAGAGAAGCAGGTATCAAATATCAGGGCTAAGAGGAAGATTTGGTGCACACCCCACATGGTTCATCCTGTTGTCTTCTGAAGCAGATAAGAACCATTCATTTATTTAAAACATGTTCCTACTTTCTTCCATCTGATGTTTTGTGTTAGTTTTTCTCCCATGAAAGGCACTGATTGCCTTTCATGCTATTAGAAAAGTCAAAATGGAGGTGTACATTCAGATACAGGCAGAATCCACTTTTCTGTCCTTAATACTAGTGACCTCAGTGGATAGGACTGGTGGACCGTTGCCCTGGTATCACTGAGAATAGCACCCCATTTTATTTCATATAACTGGCCACTGTATTCTTGCAAATACTGGTCCATAGTGAAGCTGTGAGTTATAGAATGCCATTGATTTCAGGAAGTCAGCTACTCACTGAATTATGTCCAGATTTTGTAGCTCACATGACCCTGTGATGCAGAATATATGTGAGTGGCCAGGTAATTTTTTATTGTTGTTCCTTTGATATCTGAAGGTTAAAATAGTGTCACAGAGTCTGCTTTTATAAAGTATATTACACTTAATAAGATTTATTTCCAAATGGTGCCATTTGTGGGGCAACATCTTTTTAATAACTGGAAACAAGAAAAGTATTTCATTTGAGAAGGGAATTTGGGAACCACAGTGCTCAAAGTGGCAAGTCCACATTAATCTTAATAGTTCTTCAGTGTAGCTAAGAGAGTTTTTATTTAAGGATTGACACATTTTCAATTCTTACTGCTAAACAGTCATGAGAGAGCACTTTGGGTTGTGTGTTTTTTCAGCACATATTACAGAGATGTATACCTAATGTTGGTAACTTTAAATGCCCACACTTTTTTTTGTTAACTAGTGGGAATTATTCTTGGAATTATTTGCATATTGCTAATTAGGCATTTTGCAAATAAGAGTGTAAAGGATAATGTGAAG